AAAAACATGGCAAATGGTAGCCAGCAGGCTCTGAGATACACAGGACCACGGAACAAGAGCGTCACGGGGCTGAGCAGTGCAGCGCCCAGACACCCAGCACAGAAGAACAAATGCACAGCACGTGCAGTTAGCAGGAGGTGTTCCAGGCCAGCGTCGCAAGACTCTGCCCTGCCCATGAAGCAAACCCATCACCACCCACAAGTGAATAGGATCCTTGGAATTCAAGACAAAGAAAGGATCCGTGACTCCAAAGCAACAAAAAGGGCTATAAAAAGATCACATCGCAAAGAATGCACATCTTTAAAGCTGCCACTAAAGCCCAAATTCCAGCAACTTTGAGAGCTACAAAGAATAAGTGGCACGTGTTTCACACTACAGCAAACCGAATTCCACAGGGAAGCATTAGCGCCTAAAAAATGTGAGAATTTTGCATGGGTAAATTTCTAAGGAATTGCACCTGGGGAAGGCAGTAACAGATAGAAGACGGTCACGGGAGTACGACCTGCTAGCTGACGAGCCCCGGATGGGAGGACAGGAATAACAAAATTCATCTTCTTTCCCACCTGTCATGACTGCTGTTCTGGAACGGTTTATGCGACCCCATCTAAGCTGGGAAGGTAGGATGTAAGGGCAACTACAATGTCGCTGTCTCTCCGTTACTGAGGTTCGGTTCAAGCTGCAGACTCTTACAGAAGCAAGTCCTGCTACAGGAACAGTTGCTAGCCAGGCAGGCAGGAGGCATGAATTCTGCTCTAAGCTTTGCCAGATGTAGTTTTATTGACCTTGAGCAGGTCAGGATGCCCCTCTGGGCTTTAATTTACACACAAATAAAAGACCGGACTGAACTAGGTCTGCAAGGGTGTTCTGGAAATGGGGGCGGGGGTTGCCACAAGCAGGCCCCCCTAAACCAGAGCAGCTATGCCTCTCAGGTTGCATTTGATAAATGGATTCTACAGCCTAAACTTCTTTTTCTTTTTCTTTTTTTTAAACTAGTTAAACTGCATGGTTACTTTAAGCACTAGAACTTGGACTGCCTGTGTTCAGCTCTGTCACTTTCTCCCTGTGTGGCCTTAAGCAAGTTTGCTTGTTCTCTAGTTTCCACAGCCAGAAAAAGAAGAGAACAGTAATTATTATGAGGACTAACTGTGGATGTATGAGGCACCAAGAATATGTCTGGCACATAGTAAATGTTCCTCAGATGCATAATATTTTTAGGTACTAAATGAAGTATTTTTTACCACTTCATATAATCTTTGGTATGTTTTTAAAAGATGTTTAGTGACTTAAAGAAATGTGTCAAATCTTAATAAAAATGCTTAGTTTCAAAAACAGACCTAGAAACTGAAGGTTCACCTTGAATTTGAAAAGGTGTCGTCAGTATACGCAAGCCCCTTAGCAGATTTAAGTAACCATCAAACGTGACTGCCACATACCAGAAAATTCTAGAATTCCTTCAACATAGCTTATACCAATGAATATATGATGTAGTTCTGCCAAGAATTGGTAACTGATTTTTTTATTGAAATCTAAAATTTTTGCCCTTCCAGCTGAGATAGCAGGTGAAATAATCCAAATAAAGACTATCTCTCTGCAGAGCTTTTGATTTCCCATTGTTTTGTTTTTAATACAATTAACTTCTACATCTGTTGTTGTTATGCTGACAACTAAAAATCTTCTGTTCCCACCTCAATGTTTCAAGAAAAATCTCTTCAAAATTAGTTTAGGGTTGAATCCTTCGTAGGTCGTCCCTGGGGACAGTGAGCATGGGACAGAGGGGATGTGGCAGGAGTGGGGAGGCGCAGTTAGAACAGCCTGTGAAAACTCGCCGTGCAGCTCCCGGGGTTTGCCCACACGGGTGCTCTGTAGGAACTGCCAGCTCCCTCCCGGGAACCTGAGTGAACACTCTGTCCTAATGTGCTCTGTGTTAAGACTATTCCATGGTAATTATCTTGTAATTGAAATTTGTCTATGGGACTCCATATTAGACACTTGTTTTTGGAATTAAGCCCAAATCTCACTCATTTCCCACAACTTAAGTTTCTCGTATTAAATATCAGAATAGAGGAAAGGGACCTAGCCACACGGAGTCTGCGACAAAGCTGAGGATCCCTTTCCCATCACGTATAAAATGTAGTTGGGTCGGTTTTTTGTTTTTCAATACTCAATTCCTGTTTATAGTTGTTAGATCCTGTTCCCCCTAGTTCATTCCTTTTAAAAGGTGAACTTAAAACTACTGAAATCCTTGCATAGCTATGGGAGAATTTTAAGTTACCCATGGACCATTTTGAGGGATGCACACCCTCCAAAATGACAACGTCTAACCCTGGCTGGTATGGTTCAGTGGACTGAGTGCCGGCCTGTGAACAGAAAGGTTGCTGGTTCGATTCCCAGTCGGGGCACATGCCTGAGTTGTGGACCAGCCCCCAGGGTGCTCAAGAGGCAACCAAATCCATGTATCTCTCACACATCGATGTTTCTCTCCCTTTCTCCCTCCCTTCCCCTCTCTCTAAAAATAAATAAAATCTTTTTTAAAAAAAAGACATCTAAAAGAAAGCACTGTTAAAAAGAAATGACGAATCTTTAAAAAGGACATGGAGGGGTTTACGCGTAACATGTAAAAATGGCAGCCTGGCCTTGCACACTGGTTTGTTCTTAGAAATGTGTGAGAGGGCATTTTTGGAGCAGAGCACAGAAACTCAAAACACTTCATCTGAATGGGGTAAAGGCCCTAGAATATTTTAAAAAACACACCTTTAAACTATAGACCATGTTATCACAACAGCCTCCTTGGCCCAGCCCCAGTCTAAGACAGTACTGAGGGGGCTTCTCAGGGTGGCCTGAATAACCTGCATCCCCAGTGCACGCAAGCGAGACCTGAGCCAACAAATTACCAGAATGGTACATCCTCCTGATGGGCTAAATCCAAATGCAGTGAAAAGAGTAACCTTGACAACTATGCAGGAATATCTATGAAAAAAAAAAAAATGAGTAACGGGCACGCGTGAGTTTCCATAAGAGCACGCGCTAGTCAGGGTAAGCGGAGGACTTTGCACAGAAGGGCGCTTGCACAGCCGGGTCCAGCCCGGTTGCCGACCTCAGGCATCAGATTTCTATCTCAAGAACTTCACTGCATACTAACATGGCAATAGCCTGGGCCTCATTTTGTTTTTTTGTTTTGTTTAAACCGTGTTTTATAAATACAATGAAGAGAATTTCATTGGGGAAATAATTGTTCAAGGCTGCCGCCTTTGCCTCCCGCTTCCCTCTCCAGCCTCTATTTGCCATGGGGTGGGGGCCGGTCCCAAGCTATCCAGAAAGAAAGAAAATTGACCTGGATAACACAGGTTCCCTGGTCCCTATAAAATTAAGCTTGTTTTCTGTACTGAATCTCACTAAGGCTGTAACACTGAGTCACTAAGAGTAATTTCAGACCCCCCCAGAATACAGACAATGGTGTGTTCCCTCGCTACACTCACATGTCCCGGTGTTTCTGAAACAGGCTCAAGTTTTAGTAAAATTGCACTGATACCAAAATTAAGACTCATTCAAGGTCTCACTAGCAGAAACTAACCTTTATTACATTGAATTATCCTAATGACTTAGTAAATACAGAATGTGCTGGCCAAAGTAAACCTATTTGCAAAAAGAAAATGTGTTTAATCTCGTATCACAAGGTAATTTTTTAAAACCACAAAAATCGCACATGATTATTTAATTGCTCACTTTTAAAACATCGCTATAACTCATTTTATGCATTCACTATGTTCCTGAAAATCTGTATGAAAACGTCCATTTTTAAAAAGTTAAAATTGTCACTTTAGGTGCCTTATCATGATGTCCTATTTATGTTTCACTTGGCGTAAGAACTAATATTTTGCTAAGTTTCTATTTCACCCAGGCCGCCATATAAATATTCTGATAAGAAAATATTTTAAAAGAGCCCTAGGGTGTAAAAGAATTTTTTCTTGCTATAAATAATTACTATATATTCTCTTTTCTAAGTAGAATTCACAAACCAGGTCTTGTTCAAGTGGCGTGCTTATCAAGCCTGCAGAGTTTGACCCTGAACCCGTCGCTGGCTACCACCCTTCGGCGGCTCGGCGGGCTGTGCGCACTCGCGGCCCCGCTGCGGATGCCGTGGCCACCCGCCCGAGAAAGCGTGGCTGACTCCCATGCCCCCTGGCCAGAGCCCCACTCCTGCAAGCACAGGACCTTTCTCCAGCACGCACACCAGGCCCCTTAGGATTTGGGAGTTTTTAAACAAGGGCAATGCCAGGGGCAGTGAGATTTAAATCTCCACAGTCCTCCAGGACAGTGATCACACATGCACAAAACACACCCCCCAAATAATGGGCAGGCTCTCTGAATGCACATCGAAAGGGAGCGAGGATGGCGGCAGGGGCTGGGGAGGGACATGGCTCGATCCCAGCGGGACCGCTGGCTCCCTAGGGTACAGGTCCCCTGTCCTTCAACAGCAAAACAGTCCCGACACTAGTCCTTGCAGGCCTGTAAGGCAGGCACTGCGAAACTCTCCTAGTGGACTGCCGTCATGGTTCTCGGTCCCACGGTCGGGTGGTCCCGGGCGAGCTTACATGGGTCTATCTTAAAAGGCGGTTAAAGTCGCACAATAAAGGTTAGTCCCCGTCCTGTAAGTGCCATGTTCTCTCAGCCCTTCCAGATCAGATGTCCATCATTCCTTCCAAAACCTCTAAGAATTTCCCCCCTAGAGGGGAGGGAGAAAGATGGAAAATAAAAAAGGTACCACACTGATATATGAGACCCAGCAAGTCAAAGCGGCCCAACACACCCTCAAGCAACAAAGAAACTGGCTTTCTCACCCCAACTCCTGGGATGTAGGGAGGTGGAGAAACGACGGTACAGACTGAACCCACCATAACTAAAGGAGGGACCGCGTAGACGAAGCCTGCCTTCTCCTGATGGGGCTCACGATTCGCACTCGAGTCCACGCTCCAACCTCTGACCTCTGCAGGCTGTTCACCTCAGGGCTGGGCATCACTGAGACAGGGATTCTGGGCGTCCTCTTTGCTCTTACTCTTCTCTGCTGGGCTGCACTCAGACCCTGTGACCGAGGACTTGCACCCACGAAGTGTGTGGGCGTTCAGCATCTCCAGCAGCAGGTCGTAGACTGGGACCACATTTTTGCACTTCATGCTGAGCAGGTGTTCCATGCCCTTGTTACTATGGGGACAAAAAGGTACTGAGATTCCTTCCTGAGAGGCAGCCACAGCAACTTCGAAATCTTCCCCAACACAACCAGTCCACACCATACACACACTCTTCCCCGAGCCCTTTGCTCTAAGGCTCTTGCATCTGGCTCCTTCAATAACCTACACTTAAGGGCAAGGACAACGTCCTGTGACCTCTGGGCCCTATGACCCACCCACAATGGCCTGGCAGTGCCTGGCACAGAGCGCAATCAATTCTCATTGTTCACAATAGTTACACGCTATACAGTCACTGCAAACACTGAGTTGGCGGATGCTGAACCATTGCTCCTGAGGGAAATACAGGCTTAGGGTCCTGAGGGTCTCTGCTTACATTTTCTTCAGTTCATTAATACCTAACCTTGTTGTATGTGTGTTTTTGTTTAAAGGCACCTCACTATGTATTGTTGACTCATTAACATTAACTCACGCCGACAGCACTATGGCTCATGCTTGAATGAAGCTTATTTGACACACACTTTCTCGTAAAGCGCCTCTCAGCCTACCTGCATTTGGGAACATGATGCAGCTCTTTAGCACTATGTCTGAAGGCCATTTGTGGACAATGTAATATCCAACAAAAGGCACAAAAATGCAAAAACATGGCACTAAATGGACCACATAAAGGACAATTGTTACAGAATGAGAGCTGAAACCAGAAGGCAGAAGGCTACCTTGTTTGACCTCATCTGGGAATGTAAGCACAGGCAACTCAATTTTTTTGCCACTTTGTGAATGTCCCCAAATGACCACACACCACTGTGAGTAATCAATTTGGAGGGTGACAAAGCTTAGCAAGCAGGCAAATTTGCAAATACGGATCCGAGAATAACAATAAACAGTATCTGCTCTGCAAACGGTTGTGTGCCCACCAACGATTACACAGACAGAGGTCACCCCCATTTCCTAGCCCCTGTTAAAACCCTCGAGGGGTACGTTGCCCTCCCCACAGCCCCTTCTCCCCCTCCTCCTGGGTGACACAAAGCCATCACCCGACATCAGTCACCATTTACCACGGCCCTGCCTTCCCAAATAACTGTCCCCTTAGGCCCGAGGAAAGGACAGCTCTCGGGAAGGCTGTGTGCACTTCCCCAGGTGACGAACTGCAGAGGTTCGAGAGCTGGGTTTAGCCTCTTCAAGAGAATGACCTCAGGGCCCCCGCCCTCGGTGGTGCTGGCAGGAGTGGCAGTTCCCGGGAAGGAAGGATCTGCCCCTTTTCGACTGCCATAAACAAGCTAAAATCCCCAGCAACTAAAAATCAGATGAGCCACTACAGGATGCCGTCAGAATCCTGTACGGTGCCATGTGACAGTTATTCAGTGCCCACTATGTGCTGACCTTCAGTGACAGGTGTGTGCACTGATGAAGAACCTGCCCATTCCCTTGCAAGGGGTTCACCCTCCTTTAAAGGTAACAATTCTACCTCATCCATCCTTAACTTGAAAACACTCCCCCACGCCCTTCCCCCTCTGAGCTCTGAGCGCGCCCCCCTGTTCCCAGCGCAGAGGCCCCGCGGGGGCCGTACCTGGCATGCCTGACGTGGGAGAGGAGCATCAGGAGGTTCGCCAGGCGGACGGACTGCTGCTGGGAAGGGATGCCGCTCTTGGCGATCACCCAGACCAGGGCATCGGTCACAGCGTTCAGTAAGTGAGTCAGCTTCCGGCTGCTCTCAGCCTCCTGAGCTGCTGCCGCTAACGGGTACATACCTGGACAAAGAATAAAAGCCATGATTCATTGCTCTGAGAAAAGGAACAGAAGTTGTATGCTCAGGCATGACGCACGCCAACATTCTCCTGAAAGAAGGCCAAATTGGTCAAATGGGTTCTGACATCTGCGTGTATGATGAGGTCTTCAAAACACAACTCCACCTTCCCACGGTGCCCTGAGAGCCAGGCTCATGGCCAAACAGGAAGGGTAAGCCTGGCTGAATCGGGGCAGACTGAACTGCCCGCCGGGCCCAGAACTGTGACCTTACCTTGTAAATGTATTGAGTTGCCTCAAACCGTTATATGGTGTATCTCATTTCCAGCAAAAAATACACACACGAAGATGGTCCGAAAGTGAGATGTAGTCTACTCTTAGCCCGTAGGAGGGCCCCTCAGGAAGGACTGAATAATCATCAGCTAACAACCACTGCCACGCAGCCTCTCCCACCCATGCCCTTGTGCGTGCCACGTGCAGGCCGTCAGCACCCATCCTCTGGTGGCACCTTGCTGGGGACAAGAAGGCCACCAATTTCAAATCAGACAAACTTTGTGTTCACCGCCTCTAGTTCTCTGACCCCAGTCCAGCTTCCCAGACCGTCTCGGGGCCCAGCTTGCAGGCACACGTCTCCTGAGGTCTCCGCAGCTGCCCCGCCAGCTGGGTCGCCTCCCCTATCCTGCCCTGCCCTGTGTCCAATTCCCCTCTTGCTCTAGGAGCTGAGATACCCTGTGGCCTCCCACTGGCTGCAACATCACAGCCCAGGTGAATCTCCTTCCCCCCATCCTCCATGCCCACCCCTAACTCCTTGATTCCTGGAAGCAGGAAAATTACTAGCTTCTCTTCCAGGTTTTCTATTTCAAACTCAGAATAAATAGCAAATATGTGAAACCAACAGGGGAACTGCCAACTTTTGACTGTAATGAGAATGAAGGATGGCTGGCACTCCTTCACCTACAGAGTCTGTTTTGGCAATTTCTGTTCTCTATTTTTATTGGCATTTTCAGTTTAATTAAGGTGGCTCAGTTCAAGGGACACGCTGAACTGCAATTATGTGAGTATATTGCTTCATCTCATCCCTGGGAGCACATCCCTCCATAATGTCTGATGATACAGATTTCAAATATTTGTCTTTTAAACAGCCTGGAACTGCTTCTCTAACCCACCTGCTCACCTCCTCCTCCAGGGACTCTGGGTCCCCCCTCCAGTCGCCCACGGTCCCCCACAGCTGATCACCCGCTCCTCCGCTGCAGAGGCAACAGGCCGCAACCTCAGCCCCGCGTGCCCCTTTGAGAGGCCGAAGTGCAGGTCTGCTCACGGGGCTCCCCCTAAAGACATCCCAAGTCTGGGGCTGAGCCCAGACTCCCCAGAACAGCCGTCAGCGGGGCCAGGCTCTCCCTGCTCTTTCCACCCTCAGCTCCCAACACACCTCACCTGGAGCCTTCACTGCAATTCCTTGAGCGGGTGACGCACTGCACACGCTGACCTTCCTCCTCAGGAACTCTCTCCTCCTCTTGCCATCTGTCGCCCTTCCTCTTTCAGACCCTGGCTTGCTCGAACTTCTTATCTTACCCCAAACTGTGTCTCTTCATACATGTCTCACAACCACCCTCTCACCCTCAAAGAAATGGGACATAAGCACTGCAAGGGCACCGGCCCTGTGTTATTTGTCAGTGTATCCCCATCACCTAGTATAATGCCTGGGGGGCGGGAAACCCTCATAAATGGAGTCAGAATGAACGCCCATAGGTTCAAATGTTTGCATTTTTCAGCCAACCATGCCATCATAACTGAAGTGATAAATATGCATGCTAATGCCTATCTGAGGTATACCCCAGAAAATTATTAATCAAATGAAAGTACAGAGAAAATTGTTTTAAGCTTACTTTCCCTAAAATTGACCCCCGCTGCATTAACAAGTGTCTTCTTTTCACTGGCTGTCAGCCTGTTCTGACACATGGCATATGCTCCATGGATTTCTACCACCATAAAGAAATCTTATGTCTTTGGAGTCTAAAAATAGCCGAAATTGTGTGCCTGTACATGTTTAAGTCCAAAGTGACAAAGATTGAAAATATAAAAATAAATCCTCAGCATGTACACAAATGCTCATAGCAGCATTATTCATAATAGCCTATAAATGGAAACAGCTTAAGCGTGTATCAACTGATGAATAATCAAAATGTGGTACACTGTATACAATGAAATTATTTAGCCATAAAAAAGAAAGGAAGTGCCGATTTGTGCTACAACATGGATGAACTTTGAAAACATCATGCCAATTAAAAGAAGCTAGTCACAAAGGAGCACATTTTATGTGATTCCACTTATGTGAACAGTCCAGATAGGCAAATCTATACAGAGAAAAAGCAGATCAGCAGTTGCCTACGGATGGGGGTGGGACAGAGACTGGGGAGCAACGATTAAGGAACACAGGGCTTCTTTTGGGGCAATGAAAATGTTCTGAGATTGGCTGATGATGATGGTTGCACAAGGCTGTAAATACAGTAAGAAACCACTGACTTGTGCCCTTTAAATGGGTGAACTGTATGTTATGTGCTTGTGCCACAATAAAGTTTTTATTAAGACCAATAAAGTCAGTCCTCATAACCAAAATTACAGTAACATCAAAGCCCCTCAGTGTCTCTCTCCCTGCATCTGACCAAGGCTCCTTTCGGGGGGCATGTGTGATACACACCAGGGACCCGATATTTACGGAATTGAAATTTAATCAGGTAACAGAGTTAATTTTCACTCCATGTTACACCCATTCTTAGAAAAGATAAATAACCCAGAAGTGTGCAGCTACGTAAAACGTAGCTGCTGACACACCGTGGCCTGGCCGCGCAGCTTGTTGACGGCAGTGCAGACCTGGCTGGGCGACTCCATCCCCCCTGAGCTCGTCACAGACGCCAATCTACGCTGGGGACCATCTCCAGACAGCCCGCGGGTGACCTGGCCCAACAAGGCAAGCGAGCACGGCCCAGCCTTAACCCGGGGCAGAACACATCCGCAGTCTTTTGATGCTAAGAAACCTCCTCCAGTCCTCATCTCCTGACCCTCATGCCCATCCCCCCGCCCCCCACACCAAACCAAGCCTCTGCTCTGTGCTGGGTTCGGTTCCCCATTTGGTAGTATGTATGCGGTATTTGCTCTCTTCATCTTGCTTGTTTTCAGTTTTGTTTTCATGACATGTTTACAGATTCATTGATATATAACTGACATACAACAGATAACCTGCACATATTTTATATGTACAATTTGATGAGGTTTGACACCAGCGAAACTATCACCACAATCAAGATAATAAAACACATTTACCACCCCCAAAATTCCTTAGTGCCCCTTTGTAATCTATCCCTCCCTCTCTCTCAGTCACATCCCCCGGCATCTACTGATCTGCTGACGATACAGATTAGTTTGCTTTTTCTGAAATGTTACATAAATAAGGTATGTTTTTGTGTCTGTCTCCTTTCATTCAGCACCATTACTTTGAGATCCATCCATAATGTTGCATGTATCTGTTAGTACTTTAATCCTTTTTATTGACAAGTAGTATTCCAGTGTATGGATACACCACAGTTTGTCTATCCTTTCACCTGTTGGTGGAGTGGGCATTTGATTTGGATTGTTACCAGTTTTTGACTACTATAAATATAAGTTGACCTGAACATTGTGTACAAGTTTTTGTATGAATATATATTTTCATATCTCTTTGGAGTAAAAAGATTGGACCATCCAGTAGGTTATGCTTAGTTCTAAGAAACAATGCCAAACAGGGATAGAGGCTGTAATAGTTTACATTTCTGTCAGCAGCGTATGAGTTCTCATCACTCCATATCCTCACAAACACTTGATATGGTCAGTCTTTTGGACTGTAGCCATTCTATTGGGTTTCTAGTGGTCTTTGTGTAATTAATTTTCATTTCTGTAATAATTTTAGCATCCTTTCATGTAATTATTTGCCACTATTATATCTTCTTTGATGAAGCATCTGTTTAAACATTTACCTATTTTTTTAAGTGGGTTGTTTTTCTTATGGAGTTGTAGCAGTTCTTTATATAGTTAGATACAATGAAAGTCCTTTGTTGAATACAGGTTTTTCAAATATGTGTCCTGGTCTGTGGCTTGCCTTTTCATTTTCATAAGTGTACCTTTTGAAAAGCAAAAGGTTTTAATTATGATGAAACCTGATTTATGAATTTTTTGAAGTTTGTGCTATTTGTGTTCCATTAGAGAATCTTTGCCAAACCCAACATAAACAAGATATTCTACTAAATTTTTTCTAGTTGGATAATTTTAGTGTTCAGATTTAGGCCTATGATCCAATCTGAGTAAATTTTTATCACATGGCATGAGGTTCAGTTCAAGGTTCAGTTTTGCATATATCTATCTAATAGTTCAAGCACCATTTATTGAAAAGGCCATCCTTCCCCCATTACCTTGATGTCTTTGTTGAAAAGTCAATAGTCGTATAGGTCTATTTCTGGACTCCCTATTCTGTTCTATTGGTCTGTTTGTCTACCTTGATGTCAATAAATAGTGTTTTGATGGCTTTATAATAAATCTGGAAATCAACTAGTATTAAGTCCTCCAACATTGTTCTTTTTCAAAGTTGTTTTTACTATTTTAGGTCCATTGCATTGTCATATGAATTTAAGAATCAATTTGTCAATTTCCACAAAAAAAAATAAAAAGCCTGCCAGGATTTTTACTGGGATCAAGTTAAGTCTGTGGATCATTTTGGGGAAGGATTACCTTCTAAACAATACTGAATTTTCCAACCCATTAACAAATCTCTCCATTTATTTAGAATTTCTTTAATTTCTCTTAGCAATGTTTTATACTTTTCAGTGTGTGATCTCACATCTTTTGTCAAATTTATCCCTAAGGCTTCATAAGTTCTAATGCTATTGTAAATGGTATTGATTTTTAATTTCAATTGCCAATTGTTCATTGCTACCATATCAAAATACAAATTTTTTTTTTATATTGCACTTATATG